GGTACTTAGGCCCTATATTCCTTGTTATTTGACATTTTGTATTTTGTGCCTTTTATATTTCACCAACTAGTATTGTTTGTTCTGCTGTTTGTGTTTTATATTTTGTTAACCCTGTCTTTTGTCAAGTAAATGAATATGTCTATGATTGTAAGTGTCTAACCTTTGTTGAATCCTGCCCCCTCAGGGCATTATAGTGTCCCCTATACCCCCTGGTTTATGCCTGTTATGTTCCTAGTACTGTTCTCTCATTAAAAGGTATGTGGTTAAGGCCCCATTGATGGTCTGGCTCTGCTCTATAAGGGGAGGAGAGTCCCTACACCTCCCACAGCACTTGTGCACCTGCTTTGATCCCTTTAACTGGAGAGGGGGCACCTCTTGGAGTACCACCTGGGTTGCAACAATTTTGGTTGAACAAACTAGCCCGTCCTCACAGACACTGCCAGGGCTCTGATTGAAGCACTGGCTGGGGCTTGGTGTGGCATGCCAAGCCCTGCATTTTTCCACCCCACGGCCCTGGCACACATCAGGCAAGCTCTGGGTCTCCACACTTTAGCATGTGTTGCAAGGGGGAGGGAGGAAGTTTGGAGGCCTCAAGTGCTGTTTTTGGTGACTTTAACTACAGGGCTCTCCAGTCAGTCTGCAATTCTGTACCTTCTGGCCAATCATTCAGAACCTAGTGGCCTGAGCCGGACAACAAGCAGAACAACCACACTGCCGACAGCCTATTAGCCAACCTACCCCCACACCAGCATACATGTCACCTTCCTACAAGTAGCCACAGGCACCCCGCTTATACCTGCCAGCCTCATGCTCAGCCTCAGAGATGCTACCCAGGCCTGCATGGCTGCTGGCTTCTTACCTCCTAGGGCCTCCATACTCTCAGCTGCCTCAAAATTTTAAAAAGGGGAAAAAAGAGGGATTTTGGCCAAACTGACTCAGCCGTCCTCACAGACACTGCCAGGGCTCCTATCAAAACGCAGGCTACCATCAGGGGCTCAGCATCTTTCCACCCCGCAGCCCTGTCACATGTCAGGCAAGCTCTGGGACTTTGCACCTTGGCATGTGTCACAGCAGAGGCCTCAAGCACTGTTTTCGCTGGCTGAACGATGGGCTCTTTAGGCAGTGTGCAACACTCAGCCTTCTGGTTGACAGCTCAAAACCCACTGCCCTTAGCCAAAAAACAGGCAAAATCACCACCTGTTGGCCAACACATAGCAACATACATGTCACAAAAAAGCCATTCCTCGGTGCAACTGTATAATAACTCCAGTTATTGCATAGTCACTTGTTTCTACAGCAAGGAGAAGGGTTTAGGAATAGAAGAGATTGTTATTAGGAATAGATAGATTGTTATTAATTTTTTCCTTTGGAATGCAATCAGCTATTGTTTAAGGTTTAAGCTATTGTTTAACAGATATGCATGCTAAAATCATCTCTGGTATGCAGATAGCTATTGTCTAATGAGGACCGTTCTTGATACCTAATCAAGCCATAAATTCCCTACTGATCTTTTGACAAAGTCATATGACAAAATACAAATATACATTCATACCAAAAAACATGGCTCATGCAAATATACAAATGATCAAACTGAACTTAGCTTAAAGTTAGCTGTGAATAGAGACCAAACATTTTTGCACACATATTTTCCCAAATCCAATTTGGGAAAACACGTGTATAATATGTCATGCCCCCACAATGCTCCCCCCTCCACCTATTAATCACTCTATAAAGGATACACATGACAGGGGCAAACACTAATTCAAAGCCCCCTGGCTGGAGCACTACGAAGTCCCTGCAAAGGCATGCTCCCTAGCCAGGGGCCAATAGGGTCATAGGAAAGCAGAGCCAGAAGGAACCTCATGCGATCATCTAGTTCAGCCCCGTGGTCAGGACAGAGCCATTCCTGACTAAACCATCCCAGTCAAATGATTCTCAACACAGCTAACTACCTCTCAGTTAGGGCCTTGGGGTGCCTTGAGATCCTTTCAAGGGGTGCCACAGAGTCCTACAAATTGTTAGTACAATTAAGTGTGAAAACATGATTCACAGGATAAACCCAGAAATATGAGCTCAGAATCCATAGTGTCAGAAACAGTCTGACCTAGTGTGGTCTTTCTGAGTTCTCTGCAACAGAAAAATTGCTGTATTATTTTTTTCTCAGACAAAAATGAGTGAAAACAAAAAGCTTGCATTTTCTGAGGGGCGCCTTCAGTATAATGAGGGATGCCTTGAGTCTAAAAAGATTGAGAATCACTGGTCTAACTTTTCTAACCTGCTCCTTAAAATGTCCAGGGATAGAGATTCCACATCTTCTCTAGGTAGCCACCGTCATCATAATGAAACTATGTCACATACATGAAAAAAGTTAGTTTTGAGCCCTGCAAAACAGAAACAATTTGAGCATTTCAGAAGTTCTTATGATATTCTTCTTCGAATATATTTCAACCAACTCTGTCCATACCCCCAAATCCCCCAAAGATCTCCCTAGATAAGAAGGAAATATTGAATATTCATAGGTTATACTTATGCAGGTCAGAATCAGGGACTAGAGCCTAAGGTCTACAATAGTTCCACACTTCCCTATATACTCCCATAAAGAGTAATCCTGCAAGGACAAGAGAAAGTAAAGTCGCGTATATTAGATGACTTTAAATTTTTAAAAAATGAAATTTTTCATATTACCATTTCTGTTACCCTTGAAAGTTCACATTTTGTCAACACGGACAAATTTTTTAATAATATTTTTATTAAAACAAGGTTGTTGCTTTTCATCACCTTGAATTTAATTGTTCTTCCCACAAGACCTGCAGAATGTCCTGCATTACAAAGCTTGTCTGACTCTGTTCCAACCATGCAGTTGGCCCAATAAAAGGTATAACCCAAAGAAACCCTTGCCTCTCACACACACGCCCAAAAACCAGTCTTTAATTAAAATCAATACAAAATCCCTAATCTACCACTAGATGGCACTAGAGACATGTAAAAGTGGCTGATGTGATTAAATGCTGGGGGGTGTCATGGCAACAACTCTTAAATGAAGCTAGAGCATACTGGGTGCATCTACACACACGCTTTAATGTGCATTAGCCTATTTTAATGTGCATTAAAGCATCACTGAAAAAAGTGCTATTTAGTTAATGCACATTAAAATAAGCTAATGTGCATTAAGCATCACTTAAAAACCGTGCTCCTTAATTAATGCGTATTAACATAGGCTAACACATATTTTCCTAGTACCTCACAATGGAGGGTGCCTATACATGAGCGCAGAGCCTGCTCTAACATGCTGGAGCAAACTTGATTAATCAAGTCTGCTGGAGCATGGCAATGTACTGTGCTCCAGCAGCCTCCTGCATCTCATGTATCAGCGTCCCTGTGCTTAAAAATGGCAGCGGGAGTACTTGAACTAAAGCTCATCGAATGAGTTTTAGTTCAAGCACCCCGTCTGCCATTTTTAAGCATGGGGACGCTGATAGATGAGACACGGCAGTGCTTTAAATTAGAGCGGCTCTCAGAGCTGCTCTAATAAAAGCAATGCTTCTCATCACCCCCAGAGCACATGTAAAAGCACTAGATCTAATGCACATTAACTAAAGTGCATTAATGCATGTGTAAACACACCCACTATGGTAGAGAAACTGGTGTTTCATCTGTATTAGCCTGATCACCTTTTTTCTGCTGGTAGAGTGTACTTTATCAATACAATAGTAGATTAGGGGAAAAAAACAGCCCAGACACAGACCATGACAAGAAATTTCCCACTTGTTCACCCCAAAAGCTGTCAGTGCAAGAACACTTCAAAGAACTAATGGCAAGTACTTTGAATAAGTGGTAGCTCTACATTTTGATCTGTGGTGCAGCAGAGACACCTAATGAACACTTGAGTTAATAGCAAGGATACGTACGTTCCTTATGTGACTGGATGTGAACAGAGTCTTTTCATGCAGAGGTCTGGAAGTATGTCCCAGGCATTATGTGCAAAAAAAAAAAAAAAGGTGGGGGTCCATTTCCTATTCAGGATTCACATACATGGTGAGAGCACCTGAGGAAAGGCCCCAGTGTTACACACACTACCTTCAAAAAGCAGCGGGACTGTGTGTGTGTTTCAAGCACATGTCTGAAGGTCTGCAGGACTGGAACTTAAGCGGTGTTTGCACAGCCACAGGACTGTCCCTCTGTTTCACATGCATGGATGAGCCAAGTCAGTCGCTCTCAACCTTTTTACTCTTGAGGCAGGCACCCCTTGGAAAACGCCACACTGCCCCTTGTTTTCTTGACAGTACCAGAGCCATTCTTTTTCTGCCAGGCCACCAAAACAACTGCACCAGGTCAGAATTTTTTTTAATTCTTATTTGAAAGCTCAGGGTTTACTTAGCAAGTCATGTTTGCCCATCGAACAGTGACAACCCTGCGTGCCACCCTCACAAGGCTCGCAAGGCAGCCTGACAGAGGAGCCCTGTGCTAAGGCCAGGCTGAGTGTCAACAAGTGGGTCAAGAAGGGGGCTTAGGATCTCCTTGGCAGGATCATCCCTCTCTCAGCCCTTTGCAAACTAAGGCAGAAACCTTCTGCCTGTGGCCCCTTCTCTATGAACCCTGGAGCTCCTTCCTCAGGGCTTCAGGGGGGGTGGCTCTCTCCATTTCATGGGGGGGGGGGCAATATAAATATATACTTATATATATATACAATTTAAGAATATAGATATATAGATCTATATAGCTATATATGAAACAAAGAGCTACGTGTGTCACATTCCCGAAGCGTAGACTTTAAGAACAAATCACGAGAGTTGGCAATGCAGGCCGGAGAAGCCCGCAGGAGCCCCACCGGCGCTGGACGCAGAGCAGCCCGCAGGCAGGCCGCTGGGGAGCGCCGCGCACCTCCGACCGCAGAGGGCGCTGCACGCAGCAAGGAAGCTTTCTCTTGCTGTGAGCGGGGCCCTCTTGGCGCCGGCGTAGTTCCTCGCCCTGCGCCCAAGGCGGAAGTGGCGGCTAGGGGAGCAGAGCGGCCGTGGGAGGCGGGTCCCAGCCCCGGGCTCGGCTAAGGCTTCTCCTCCCCCGTGGGCCCGGCCCTGCCCTGCCCTACCCCTGCCGCGGCCGGGGGGCGCGCCGCCTCCGCAGACCCTGCAGGCACAGCGCCGCGGCGGATCGTGCCTGGCCTGAGGGGGCTTCGCCTCTGGCTGCGCGGGAGGCTCCGGGCTGGGCCCGATTTCTCTTATATGTGTCTGTATCTATCTGTAATAATGTATCTGTAATGTATAGTATATTAGCATATAGAGTATATAATATATATATATAGTGTGTGTGTGTGTGTGTATCTGTATACTGTGGAGTATATAAAACATAGCTATAATATAATGTGTGTGCGCATGTATATGTATACAGGGCCTTCATAAAGTACTTGTGCACTTCTAAACTTCAGTAACTTAGGTTGTAGGTATGATAAAAACAGCCCGTAAACGGCATTTAAAAGCAAATTTATTAAAGTTTTAGGACAACTAGAGTACATAATGCTAGACTTCAACGTAACCACCATCTGTCATGATACAGTGCTCAATCTGATCTTCTGACTCCTCGAAAACGTTTCCCAGTTGCTCCTGAGTTACTGCACTAATTGCATTGATGCAGAACGTGGTTTTGACAAGTAAACTACACTTTTAACATGTCCCCATAAAAAGAAGTCCAACGGCGACAGGTCAAGTGAGCAAGGTGGCCAAGAAATTGGTCTACCTCTGCCTATCCGCTTCTCTGTGAAACGTCATTTAGGAACCGTTGTATGTTCAGAGCGTAGTGGCACTGAGCTCCATCTTATTTAAGAATAAACTCGTTATTACTTATGAAACCTAGCATTGTGTACTCTAGTTGTCCTAAAACTTTAATAAATTTGCTTTTAAACGCTGTTTACAGATAGGTTGTAGGTGTGATAGAAACAAAGTTATTAAAGTTTAAAAGTGCACAAGGACTTTATAAAGACCCTGTACGTATATGCCTAAATGTGACTTCACCTGGTGCTTAAGCTGCGTAAAGTAGTATGAATACAGAGAGGAAACCACTGACAGGCAAGTCTGAGCTAGGCACTGGGCGGTGTTTCTCAACCCGTGGGTCACGGGTGGCACAAAGGTGGGTGGCAAGGGTACATGAAAGGGTGGTTGACAAACTTTAGAAATGGATTCTCCTTTAAAGGAGAGAAATTTGGTTTTTCCCTCGCACACCCACCCCTGTTGCCCCGCACACTGGGGAGCTGGGACTTGGGGGTGGGGGGCAGTAGGTTGTGACTGAGGGGCACTGGGTCGGGACTGGCCACCAATGGGTCCTGGTACAAAAAAGCTTGAGAACTGCTGGACTAGACTAGATCTCTGGAGTCCCTGCAGCAGCCTCTTCCAGTTGCAGGCAGCTCTGCTCCCTCTTTGTTTATGCCCCATTTTAGTTTCTGTTCTTTTGGTTGCCAGGACTCAGGCAGGCCACAGTGGAGCAGGGTGTCCTTAGCGCTGTGTGTTCACCTCTGACCTCTCTGGGGTGAGCTTGCGCACCAGTGCTGCTGTTGAGTGGTGGTTGTGCAGCCAGAAAACTGCCCCTCTGTTTCACGGGCTGGGGTCTGCCAAGTCAGTCGTTCTCAACCTTTTTCTCTTTTTTCATTTTTTTTAAGGCTCATGTTGAAGACCAGCTTTGGTTGGTTTTCACGTTTTCTGACTACAGAGAAACGCTAGAGCCATTCCTTTTGCTGCAAGGAGCTCAGAAAGCCCTCTCCTGATCAGATTCTTTTTGACCAAGTTTAGATTATGGATTTGAACAGAAAGATTTGGATTGGGCTGATCGTGCCTCAGGCAGGGGTTGGCTGCCCTAGATGACCTCTGGAGATCCCTTCCAGCCTGACTTCTCTGTGCTTCTCTAACACTGTAGATCCCTGTTTGAAAGCTGTGAGTTTATCTGGTCAATCGCATTTACACACCTAACCATGCTAACATGGCATAGTACCTTGCAGCAAAATAGCGATCATCACCTGCTGGATTTCACTATCCAACGCAGAGCGTCTAGGGCTCACACCGAGGCTAAAGCCCTTGACTTCAGAAGGGCCAACTTTAATGAGCTTAGGAGAGTAGTGGGGGAGGCACTAAGGCCCCAGAAGGTAGAGGAGATGGGAGCCCACGAGGGATGGTCGTACCTTAAGGGGGCGATCCTCCAGGCCCAAAGGATAACAGTCCCTGAGAAAAGCAAGGGGGGTAAGAGTGCTCAGAAACCCCCTTGGCTCATCAAGGGCATTCAGCAATGCCTGAGGACTAAAAGGGAGGTGTACAACCAGTGGAAGGGAGGAACTATCACCAAGGAGGAGTACTCCTCCTCGGCCCGGGAGCGTAGGAGGTCTATTAGAAAGACCAAGGCAGAGATGGAACTCAGGCTAGCGTCCAGAATTAAGGACAACAAAAAGTCCTTTTTCAAGTACATTGGGAGCAAGAAGAGGGCACCAGGCAATGTAGGGCCCCTGCAAGACACAAACGGTAATCTGGTGGCCACGCCAGACAAGAAAGCTGGTATTTTTAACCGTTTCTTTGCCTCTGTTTTCGTGAACAGGGACCGGGATATCCCACCTACCAGAGGTAGGGACAATCGTGGGGATAGCTCTATCAAGCCTTCAGTCAGTGCAGATGTAGTTAGGGATCTTCTGGAAGGGCTAGACATTTTTAAATCTGCAGGTCCAGATGCCCTCCACCCAAGGGTGTTGAGGGAGCTGGCAGGGGTCATCGTGGAGCCTTTGGCCCGGCTGTATGAGCATTCGTGGTCATCTGGCCAGGTGCTGGGGGATTGGAAACTGGCTAACGTGGTCCCTATTTTTAAGAAGGGGAGGAAGGAGGACCCAAGTAATTATAGGCCTGTAAGCCTCACCTCAGTGCTTGGGAAGCTCTTGGAGAGGATCATCAAGGAGCATATCTGTGGGGGACCTGCAGGGGAGATCATGCTCAGGGGCAATCAGCATGGGTTCACCAAAGGCAGGTCCTGCCAGACCAACCTGATTGCCTTTTATGACCAAGTAACTAAATCCTTGGATGATGGTGTCACTGTGGACATAGTCTTTCTAGACTTTAAGAAGGCCGTTGATACTGTCTCTCACCCCATCCTCATCAATAAATTAAGTGACTGCAGCATTGATGCCTGCACAGTTGGATGGATAAAAAATTGGCTGATGGGGTGCACCCAGAGAGTAGTGGTGGACGGGTTGTACTCAACCTGGCTAGATGTGAGCAGTGGGGTACCCCAGGGCTCAGTCCTCGGGCCCACACTGTTTAACATCTTCATCAGCGACTTGGACGAGGTGGTGGAAAGCACGCTGTCCAAGTTTGCTGATAATGCTAAAATGCGGGGTGAGGTGGACACTTAAAGGGAGAGAGAGGCTGCAACTAGATTTAGACAGACTACAAAAGTGGGCAGACAAGAATAGGATGGGGTTCAACATAGACAAATCAGTTTGCTGCACCTTGGGAGAAGGAATCCACAGCATACATACAGGCTGGAGAGTTCCCTTCTTGGAAGCACAGAGGCGGAAAGGGATCTCAGAGTCATTATTGACTCCAAGATGAACATGAGCTGCCAATGCCAGACCGCAGCCAGCAAGGCCAGCCATATCG